AGGACAGCGCGCGCCTTGCGTGTGGGGGGCTCTCGGCGTCCCTCTCCCGCTCACGCCTCGTGCCCCTCCCCTCTCTCCCACTCGCCCTCTCCTCCGTTCTCTTTCAATCCTCCTCGCCCGCCTCGTCCTCCCTCCGCCCGCGCCCTCTCCCCCGAGGGGGTCGTGGTCGATCCTCCTCCTCCTTCTCCACCCTCCCACCGTTTCCCCCATTCCCCTCGCCTCCCCCCCATCCCCGCTCCGCCTTATCGTTTCCTCCGCGCTCCCATCCTCATCCGCGCGGTGATCGGTCCGAGGAGAGCTGGCGGCCGCTGTCGCTGGGGCCGCGGGCTCCGACACACCCGGCCAGTTCCCCGACATGGTCAAGAGCTTCGAGGAGGCACCTCTCTCGCTCCCTCTCTGTCGTCCATTTGTTGTTTTGCTGCGGCTGCCTGGGGCTTTCCTCGTCGCCGCGGATGGGCGCAGCTCGACGCGTGGATCCATCTGGACTCCCGGGGAACCGCGTCTCGCTTTCCCTCTCCCCCGCCTACCCCTCGGCCTCCCTCCCTCTTCCGCTCCCCCCCCTCCCCACCCGCCCTCTCCCCTCCCGCCTCCCCTCTCCTTCCCCTTCCCCTCTCCCTTCCTCAGTCCCTCTCCCTCCCTCCGTCCGCGGCTCTCTGGGGCGTGGCCGGGTCGTCGCACGTGCGCCCCGCTCAGGCATGGACTGAATGTGCGGGGCCGGCGTGGCGCGCCTCGGTCTGCGCGTGGTGCGCTCAGTTGATGAGCCCATGAGGCCCTGATGTGCGCTGCGCCCGTCGCCTTTGCGACATGTATGTAGCACGGGTGCTGTCTCGGGGTGCACGACACAGGGTGGTGGCCAAGGTGCAAGGAGTATGATAATGCCAATCCGCATCGGTGGCGGAGGGTGGGCACGATCCAGGGAGATTAGGGCCACTAGGACTGCGTGGTCACGTGTCTGGCCAGCCCTCGAGACGGCATCCATACGCAGGGCCCGGCTTGCTGTGTTTGCCCGCGTGACCTTCGAATCAGCGTTTGAAGGTCGCCTGCTGCAGCACAGCATTGCATTGCATGGCGGCGATCCAGGGGCATCAGTCCGCTGGGTCACTAGTGTATCTGTCGGCTGGTGGGCCAACCGACATCACTTGGGCTGCCGCTCAATGCCGCCGATACCTTCGAACCTTGCTTGGGCACCCCTCGGGTCCCTCCTGGAGCTTAATTAGAAGCCCAAGGGGGGGGCCAACAACGGCCCACGCGGGCTCCAATAGGGCCCCAAGTGGGCCCCACGAGATCTTATGTGCCTGTCATGTGCCTGTCATGGGCCCAATATGGCCCCCAAGCTGCCCCCACGAGAGCCCCCAATCTGCCTCGACGGGCTCAAGATGACCAGCCCGATCGAGCCCCGAGATCGGATGATGATGATCCATATGATGATGATGGTGTTGGTGATGACGATGACGATGACGGTGATAATGGTGATGATGCTGATGCTGCTGCTGCTGCTGCTGATGATGATGATGATGATAATGATGATGATGATGATGGTGACGATGATGATAACGACGATGATGAGTGTTTGATCTTAATGATGATGTTGATGATGTTGTGTTTGTGATGAGAAGGCCGCTGCTGATGACGATGGTGATGATGATGACGACGATGATGATGGTAATGATGCAAGCGAATACCCCCGACGCGCTGGGGACGTGCACACCCTCACGCTGCGGACGGAGTCGCCAGCTCACACTGGGGATGGCGTCCACAGCTCGCGCCGAGGACATGCCCCGAGCTGTCCCCAGCAACCCTTGCTGGGGACGTCGTCCCCGGCAGCCCTTGCTGGGGACGTCGTCCCTGGCAGCCCTTGCTGGGGACGTCGTCCCCGGCAGCCCTTGCTGGGGACGTCCCCCGGCAGCCCTGCCGTCCCCAGCAGCCCTTGTGGGGACGTCGTCCCCGGCAGCCCTTGCTGGGGACGTCGTCCCCGGCAGCCCTTGCTGGGGACGTCGTCCCCAGCAGCCCTTGCTGGGGACGTCGTCCCCGGCAGCCCTTGCTGGGGGCGTCGTCCCCGGCAGCCCTTGCTGGGGACGTCGTCCCCGGCAGCTGGGGACGTCGTCCCCAGCAGCCCTTGCTGGGGACGTCGTCCCCGGCAGCCCTTGCTGGGGACGTCGTCCCCAGCAGCCCTTGCTGGGGGCGTCGTCCCCGGCCGCCCTTGCTGGGGACGTCGTCCCCGGCAGCCCTTGCTGGGGACGTCGTCCCCGGCAGCCCTTGCTGGGGACGTCGTCCCCGGCAGCCCTTGCTGGGGACGTCGTCCCCAGCAGCCCTTGCTGGGGACGTCGTCCCCGCCCTTGCTGGGGACGTCGTCCCCGGCAGCCCTTGCTGGGGACGTCGTCCCCGGCAGCCCTTGCTGGGGACGTCGTCCCCGGCAGCCCTTGCTGGGGACGTCGTCCCCGGCAGCCCTTGCTGGGGACGTCGTCCCCAGGCAGCCCTTTGCTGGGGAGCCCTTGCGGGGACGTCGTCCCCGGCAGCCCGTCGTCCCCAGCTTGCTGGGGACGTCGTCCCCGGCAGCCCTTGCTGGGGACGTTCCGTCCCCCGGCAGCCCTTGCTGGGGACGTCGTCCCCGGCAGCCCTTGCTGGGGACGTCGTCCCCGGCAGCCCTTGTCGTCCCCGGCCGCCCTTGCTGGGGACGGCGTCCCCAGCAGCCCTTGCTGGGGACGTCGTCCCGGCAGCCCTTGCTGGGGACGTCGTCCCTGACAGCCCTTGCTGGGGACGTCGTCCCCAGCAGCCCTTGCTGGGGACGTCGTCCCCGTCAGCCCTTGTTGGGGACGTCGTCCCCAGCACTGCCTGCCGGGGACGATGGCGATGTTGACGACAACATCGTTCACACTGACGTCGCCGACGCCAGCACCGTCGACGACGCCGCCCGCTGACCAACGCCGACGACGACGCCAGCGAACCTGACGACGCCGACGACGACGTTGGCGACGCCAGGCTCTCGCCGTACACTATCCCGTTACAATATCAATAACAACGCCGAACCATATTCAACGTACAGTCGTACGCATCGTCAACCACGCACTATGAATATTATGTACGCCACAACCATACTCATCCTACCTCAACCGTATCGTGTTGACGACATGTGCACGTCATTGCGCACACGATGTGAGCGTGTGTGTGTGTGTGTGGGTGTGTCTGTGTGGGTCAATGCGTGCACTACGCCCATCAACTCACACGCCTCTGCCATGCTGTCAGCGCTGCTCTCCTGTTTTTTTGCGTCACCGCATTGCCGACGTTTGTGCGCGCTGGACCGCGCGTGCGGACCTGGGCTGTGCCGAGCCATCGCGCATCGCAGTTGGGCGGGTGTCGCGACACAGCATACTCCTGCCGTCTCTCGCTGTCATGGCTAACTCCCCCTCTGCCTCTGCCTACGGGATGACGGTGGAGGAGGACTCAACGGCTGAGGTGGATGATCCGTATGAAAGGGGACAAGGAGGGATGATGAGGATGATTGAGGAGATATGATGAGGGATGGAGGAACATGATGCGACGTGGGGGAACGACTGCTTCCCTGCCCCGCCACGCGACCCGGCCCATCATCGGCGACGTGGAGGCAGTTGAGGCGCAGGCCGAGCCGCGGCTGCTCCCGCCGCCGGGCCACCGGCGCCGCCGCCAGGGGAGGTTTAGCACGGCTGTGCGACGTGGGCCCACCGCCCCGGGGGATCCCAGGGCCACTCATCCCATGACCACACTCCTCCCTCCCTAACTCCCTCCTACCCTCCAGCGCCCCTCGTCCCCCCTCCCTAACTCCCTCCTGCCCTCCTCCCTCCTCCTTCTTTTTTTTGTTTTTCCCTCCTGGGCGCTGCGCGTCGCCGCGGATGGACGCAGCTCGTGGACTGGACCCGCGGTGCTGCGGCCTCCGGGGACCGATGTGAACCGAGTTTACGCTTCCGCTGCCTGTCTGGTAGGTACCCCCCGGCCACTGTTGCCCGTCATGTTAGGCTGACAGGTTAAGTCTAATTGTTGGGCTCCAAGCGTTGTCGAACCTGAGCGCGCGCGAAGCGCGCGCGAAGGGTCTAATTGCAGTTACTTAGTGTTCCCGCCTCGCGCAGCGCGAGGCGGGTACCCATAACGGGTGCACTGTGCTCTGGCATACACGAGAGGGGGAATCGAGCACGCTCGGGGGCCACTGGGACGGCCTGGAGACCCGATATATGCTTCCAATCTGATATCCAATCTCTGCTTCGGTGGTGTCTGGGAGAAAACAAAGGGGAGGGGTAGGCAGGTGCCCCGTGCATCGTGTAGTGCGCTCGGGGCCCGTGGACCATGCAAACACAAGTAACCCTCGGGCCCCCACCGCTGTATCAACTCCTCCCCTCCTCCCTCACCATCTGTCGCCACATTTTGGGTCAATCATTCTCGCAGTGCGGTGGTGTGCCGCCAACCTGTCTTGCGTACCCGGCGCGCCAGACAGCCTTGCCCCCATGGTCGCCGGTGTAGTAGCCTTCCCTGCTGCTGAGCCGACGCGCTCGCTCGAGGGCGCCATGGCGTGGGCGCCAGCCGCGCCGGCTCGGCTGCCGCGCGAGTTCGTGGATACGCTTAGTCAGGCTGGGCTCTTCCTCCACGTGGCGCAGGGCGCAGAGCTCCGCGTGAGCGCGGCCTTCAGCGGCATCGACGCGCCGCTGGTCAGCCTGCGCATGATCAATGCTGCTCTCACGTCCTTCACGGACCGGCTCGTCGCCCAAGCTGGCGCCGCGCGGGACGGGGGACATGCCCCCCCGCCGTTGGCCCCTGCCGCCGGCCTCCGCATCACCAACCTTTTCGCAATTGAACTGAACCAGACCTGCCAGGAGGAGCTCCTGCACACTCACCACGGCCCAGGCAGTTGCCGCAATCGAATGTATGTGGCCCCACCGCCCCATCCCAGGTCCCGGAGTCCCAGGGTCTCATGTAGGTCTGGGGGTGGTGGTGTCGCGGCCCGCGTAGATTCGACTGCGTGTCGACTGCCAAAGGTTGTGTATTCACGGACGTGAAGAACTTTGTGAACCCGTCTGTGCTACGGGACGCCAAGGAGGCTCGCTCTGAGGCGGCAAGCCGCATCCGCGACATCATTTTTGAGAAGTGCATGCGTAGACGTGCTTGGTGCGTCCGCCACGGGCGTCTGTGCGGGGTCCGCCGGGCGCACATTCACGTCGCTGGGACCCCCTGCGTCGATCATAGCCAGTTTGGGTTGCGGCGCGGCGCGGATGGCCCGACGAACATCGACCTCTACAGCTGGATGGGGCAGCGGCGGCAACTCCAGGAGCCAATCGTGATTGCAGAGTGCGTCGCGCAGTTCGGCCTCACCAGCCTCGACGAGGGCATCGGGGACATCTACGCGCTTGAGCGCATGGAGATCGACCCCGTCGAGCTTGGGTGGCCCGCCCGCAGGCCTCGGCAGTTCATCGTCGGGATCCTGCGCGACAACTTCCCCGTGGTGCCTGTGCTTCCAGCGCCCTGCGACACGATGAGTGGCATCGTTGCGAACCTGCTGGCCCGGCCTTGCGGCATCACGCAGGACGCGTTCCTGATTTCCACGCAGGAGGAGCGCGATGCTGAGCTCGAGTGGGCACGCAAGCGGCCATCGGCTTTGGAGCGGCGCGACCCTGCGGTGCTGTCCGAGCTCGACGTCGTCCAGCGCACCGAGTGCAAACGGTACAACAGAGTAGACCAGCCAGGGACATTCGCTGCGGCCCTGAGCTTCAATGAGCGCAGCCGCCTGAATGCCTGGAGGCGTTCCCCAGTGCTTCGTGGAGGTGGGAAGGGAGTCTTCACCGCAGACCTTGGTTAGGAGCCAGACCACGCCATTTTTTCCAATTGGGACGAGACGTTGCACACCTTGATCAGAGGGCAGTCACTCACATGGGTGGATCGCCACAGCAGGTGGCTGACGACATTGGAGCTGTTCACGGCCATGGGCTTCCCCATCGATGACGCGTCGGTCACTGCATCAGGGGCGTGCTGCTGCTTCAGCAGGTGCTACGATCCCCCTGAGGCGAGGACCCGCGCGTCCGCTGTCTGCCAGAACGGCAACGCGATGCACGTGAACGCCATCGGCGCAGCATCCTTGGCCTCTCTGCTGTTTTGGCCCGGGATCCTGGCCATCGACCCCGACATCCAGCCCGGCACTGACAGGCTGACTGACAGGGTCGGCGTTGTCACCGCCATCGGCGACATCGCCGACGTCGGCGACCCGCCGCTCGATGGCCCCGCCGTGCCCGAGGGTTCTGTGGCCGCCACGAGGCCCCATGTCCGCCGCCGGCTCATGGGCAAGACGCCGCTTCTGATGACGCGCAGCACCTGCGATGAGGGACCAGGCGCGCAGGCGGCGCCGTCGCTGCCACCGCCACTTGCCGATGCCGCAGGGCGCGATCATGCTGCTAGCGCTAGTGGCGCATCGGCCGCGTCTGCTTGCCCGAGCCTGGACCCTGGCCCCGCGACGTGTACTATTATGCCCCACCACCTGCTGCATCCCCTTACCAGTTTCGGTGCGGACGTTGCTGGCATGCGCCGCCAGCGCGCCTTGCGGCGCACGGCGTCGGCCGCGTCGGGGGGGAGCCCAGTGGCATAGATAGGATCGGGGCGGATAGCCATACCCTTACAGACCGCCCCATCCATGCAGCATCTGCCATCTATAGCTGCACCGCCAGTCCTCCTCTCTCCACCTCCTGCCCCATTCCCTCTGCGTGATCACCTCCCCTACTCTCCCCCCTCCCTCACAACTCGCATTCGAGCCCTTTCCTCCTTCTCCCTCGACATTGCGTGGGTCATCCATGCTGCGTGCGTGCGCTGTGTGGCGGCTGTTGCACAGGGTCTAGGCGGCCCTAGGCGCCGCGCGTATACACGGCGGCCGGCCGCACTGCATGAGTATTACCGTGAACAGATTGTCGTCCGCGGCAGAGCCTCCATCCTCTCGGTTCTACAATCCCCCCCCCGGCGTCCACCATCGCCAGTTTGTTCGAGCTGCGTCCACCCGTGGGTGGGGGGGACGAGGACATTCAGGTCCGAAGGTCCGAACGCCGGTCCGAACGCATCGGACCATACCGTACCCGACAGTTCCCAAACAGGTTCCACCTCCCCCCCCCTTGGAGGGGGCGGTATCTGCGATTTTCGCTCATTTTCGTCGACCCTTCGTAGATTTCGATTTCGATTTTGATTTCAGTTTTTCGTCGATTTCTTTTTCGTCGATTTCTTCTGCGGTTCGGGCCCTCTGGGCCCGTTGGCCCTGGACGCATCCCCGCATTCCCCCCTCGCATCGCCATAGCCAACATTGCCACGGCCATTTCGGCATCGTAGCCCCCCCGCTGGGCAGGTGTGCCGCGCGGCCCCCTCAGTTTCTGCGAGGCCGCTCTGGCCAGTCATGCCGACGTCACCGCCATTTCCTGATGGCGAGCCGAGGCACGTCAATCATATGTATCCTGGGCTGACGGGGTGCGTGCTGCGAGAGAAGGTCGAGGCCGAGTGGGCCATGCCGGACTCCTCGTACGATCGCATCCCGTACGAGGGCAGAGACGGCCGCAAGATCTTCGTGCGGCACCCCCACAACAAGCAGCGCTCGAGCCAGGCCGTGGTGAAGCGCTACGCGGCCTCCATCGAGAAGCACGGCATCAAGAAAGACGCCAGGTCGGGGAGAGTGATGGCGGTGCCGACCACGATCAACCCTGACACGTGGGTCCTGCAGGTGATTGCTGGGGCCACGCTGATCGAGTCGGTCTACAAGGCCTTGGACGACACGCGGCGCACCAAGAAGGCGAACCCGCAGGTGGAGCACACTGCGGCGGCTGGCGTGCGGGACGTGCTGCTGTTGCGGGACACCACGCCGGTGTGTGTATTACGCTACCTGAAGGACGAGATGAACAGCATGCTGCGGATTGGGAACCCTCGGAACTTCAGCGAGCTCTACCAGCACCTCGACCACGTGGAGGCGGAGTTCGAGGCCTGGAAGAAAGAGCAGACGGCGTTGGGGAAGCCGGTCCCTGCCAACGGACATAAGGGATTCGAGACGCGATATGGGGAGTTTCTCGACGAGCAGTAGCTTGCTCAGGATCTGTGGTCGGTCGATTCGGTCGATCGGTCGGGCACGTTCGTTTTTGCACGCGGTATCCCATCTGCTCAGCGGTCACCGACTGAGCAGATGGTGGCGCCCATCGTCTTCGGAGACGGATCGGATCGGAGGTACGCGATCACATACCGAGGAAAGGGTTGCACAGTTTCCCCCGGGGCCGCAGGCGGCCCGAGGAGGAGGAGGAGGAGGAGGAGGAGGAGGAGGAGGAGGATGTTCGGACTGGATCGGATCGAATCGTGACTCGGTCGGCGGTCTGGCCGACACGGATACGAGGTTCGAGGACTCCTGGACATCGTTCACTGACTTTCGATCACAGACCGATGTTCGGACTGGATCGGATCGGATCGTGATTCGGTCGGCGGTCCAGCCGATACGGATACAAGGTTCGAGGACTTCTGGACATCGTTCACTGACTTTCGCCGTTGCAGAGCAGCGTGGTCGAAGCTGCAGGCTTGGCCTCTTGAGTCGTGGCTCCTGACCTTCTGCGAGGAGAGCGTCGACTTCTCCCACAAAGATCTTGACAGCACGAGTGTGTTCGCGTGTCACAATCAGATCATGTTGATGCTGGCGAGCACACCGGACACCGAGCTGGTCCAGACGTTGCTCATGATGTCGCTGCCAGGCGATCACAACGAGGACTTCCCGTGGCTGTTCAAGAAGGCGGCCGACTTCAGCAAGGCGAGGAGGTTGACTGCCGATTTGATGCAGTCATCAGTGTTCAAGGTTGCCCGCGAGATACATGGCCCGGGTGGCAAGCCTGTCGAGGCCGTCGCTGCCGTGGAGGGCAAGGGTAAGAAGCGCAAGGCACAGCCCAAGAGGAAGGCCGCCGCAGATATCGAGCCCAGCGACACCAGCATCGCCTTCACCGCGGCTTCGGTCACGATGGCTCAGGACCTCCAGAACTCCATGGTGGATATCACCTCGCAGTTGCCGAGCACGAGCAGGGTCGACACGATGTTCAATATGAAGATGAAAGCGAAGGTAGTGACTTACGTCGTCAATGAGTCTATCGAGTGCGAGACCGAGAACTCCGACGGCACTCATGCAGTGGTGATCAAGCAGTACAGCAAGCTTCGGTTATGGATCCGCAAGAGAATGCGCAGCCATTACAACCTACCCGACCCTGCGGACGATGACGATGAGGCACTCCCTGTTCCCGCCGCCGAGGGTGCCGATGCTGCCGGTGACGATGATGACGAGTATGGTTCAGATGCTGTTGCAAAATTGCGGGACATCGTCAAGGCGCGACCTGACGTCGGGAAAAAGATGAAGGCCCTCATGGAGGATAACCCGTTCAACTTCGACCTCGACACCCACATTGCCGTGGCATCCATGACCGCCTCTCTCAGGAAGGAGCTCGGTGACTCGACCAAGGATGCAGACATGATGAAGGTGATCCAGGAGCAGAACTTGGACTCGTTCATCCACGTGCGCTCCATGGTCGGCAATGTTGTGCGGATTGTCGACAAGTGCTGGCCCACGCAGTGCGTGACCGCAGCCATCCTGATCAACGACATCGCGGGCCCCGATCAGACGGGGCGGGACATCCCTGGGACGGCGCTCGTGGAGCTGCTGGCGGGGTATCAAATCATTCCTCCTCCTCCTCCCCTCCGCCACGCTCCACCTCCTCCTCAGGACTCCTCCTCCTCCTCCTCCTCCTCCCCTCCGCCTCTTCCTCCCAGCCATCTTCTTTCTCATTCTCCTTACTATTCCACCGTCCTCCCTTATCCTCCTCCTTCCGCGCCCTCCCTCCGCTCATCCCCCCCCCACCCCCGGGGCTCCCCCCTCTCCACTGGCCCGCTTCCCTCCCTCCCCTTCCTTCCCATCCTCTTACTCCGTCCTCCCACATTACCTTTTATTTTCGTCTCTCCCCACCCCGCCCTCCTGAGTCTCCTGGGGGGAGGAGGAGGAGGAGGAGGAGGAGGAGGAGTTTTTTGTTTCGCTCCAGGAACGCTCTCGTGACCTGCACGCCGTCTTCGGCGACGTCTTCGAGTCTCACACTCAGTTGAGTTGCTTCATGGCGATGCGAGCCTCATACACGATTCACATGTTGGACAGGCTGCACGCCTACTTGACAGAGGGCCGCGATCGCGGCTCATTCGTGTGGTTGACGGAGGCGTCTCTCCTCAAGCTGCAGGCTCCCCGAACCCACCCCTTGAATCCTGGGTTGTCGCGTACCCCCCGAGTCGATTCAGTCACCCCCCCCCCGTGCCCTCGCCCCTGTAGGCCCTGAGGGGGCCTTGGATCCTCCTGGCGCTTCTGGCGGCACGCGGACGGGGTCGGCGGGGGAGGTCAACCTTGGATTCTGGGAGTGGTTCGTGGTGTCCTGAGGCTGCCGTGCGCTTCAGTACGCGTGCCACCGGGGCGATCATGAAGAACGATTGCCTGAACACCACGGTCGACGAGTGCGAGGCCATGTGGTCCAAGATCGTCGGGCGATCGACCGAGCTGATGGAGGGTGGCGGCACCGCGGCGCGGTCTGGCCAGGAGTGGAAGACCTTTGAGCACGCCGCCCGCGCCAAGGCCACGAAGTCCACAATCCAGGACTTGCGCGCCATGGCGATCTCGGGGGGGAGGCAAACACTGTTACACAGATGCGGACCCCCAGTTGAGTTGAGCCGAGGTGGCCTTCAGCTTCCTCACCCGCATCCCCCCACCCCCCACCCTCCGCTCGCTCCCCCTCCCTCCCTCTCTCCCCCTCCCCCCCATCAGTTCCCCCCCCCCTCTGGGCCCGCCTTCGCCTCCCACCCCCCCCCACCAGCTGGGGGGGGATGAGGGGATGAGGGGAGTGAGATTCCAATGATTGGTACTTAGAGAGGGCCCCCCCGCGGGGGCCTGGACCCCCCCTCGCGCCTTTGCTCTAGGCTTCCCAGGTGGGGTCGGAGTAAATGGGGTCGGAGGATGATGCATCGACGATGCGGCTCGATGCGGAGCCCGATTTTCTCCACGCTGGCGTCGCCGATGCACCGCCCACGTCGATGATGTATCGCCGGTGCATCACAAATGCATCGCCGATACATCTCCGATGCATCGCCGATGTATCGGTGATGCGGCGCCATCCTCCGACCCCGTCTACTCCGACCCCATCTAGGAGGCCTCTGTTTGCGGCATCTGTCAGGCACTTCAGCACGGCTGCGTGTCCACCGATGCGGCCGCCACGCTGTCCAAGCCCGAGCTG